ACTTCTTAAATGTATTATATGTAACATATAAATAAAATATACATTATATTTTATTATGAATTTTGTCACAAAATAAATATTATTTTAAGAGAACTTAAGCTTTTTTCTTATTGCAATAGATTGATTATTTTCAAAAAATTAAAATACAAAATTTTAATCTTTAAGTGTATAGTATAAATTTTCATAAAAATTTGCAAAAACTCAAACAATATAAAAATTATGTTAATAAATTCAAATAGAATCTTATTAAGAATGAAAAGTGTTAGTGTATGTGTTGAAAATTATTTAATATTTTTTTATTATTTACTAAAGCAAAAATATTTATTTCCTAATTGCAATAATTGAAACACAATTAATCTGAAAACAGTGCGTAATAAAAATTGAAAATAGCATTCTCTCATTTATTTATTAAAAAACAAACAAGATAAATATACTTTAGCGAGAGAATAAAAGTGATTCGAATGAGATATTACACATGCACTGATAGAGTAGTAAAAAAACGATTCTTTGCACGGTTTATATATTATACATAACTCTTGTGTAAAGAAAGCAATTTTTGAAATTACTAACTTTTCTAAACTTTTCTAAACGACTGTAACATTTACGATGCTTTTATTACAACATAATTTTTTCGCATGTATAATTTATATATATTTCCACAACTTTCATTTATATTTATATAATAATTTTTAGTTTTGTGCAAATTGTTGCTGTGATACAATAAATAATCAAGTATTTAAAAAAAATGACAAAGTTATTTAGAAATTTATTGTTATATAACATATATGTAAATATTTATATATATATATATATATATGTAAATATATGTAAATATATATTTTTTTAAATTTGTCTATTATATGTATAATGTACATACTATAATAATTGTATACAATAATAATTGCTTTCCTATTCTGTATCGTTTTCTTTTGTTTCCGTTTTGTAAGACGTTGCCGATCGAAATAAAAAATGCTTACATTCACATTGATATACAAGGCGTGCAAATTTATTATATAATATAATCAAAATCCAAATATTAAATATAATCAACGGTCTTTACATCGCTAACAATTATCTGTTTACGAGAAAACACAAGAAATACCGTGGCAAAACAACGCGTACTCTGATTTTATTCCGATGGAAATTGGAATAGCGCATATGTCGACTTATTTGTACTAGGTAAAATTATCGCCGCTGGGTATCGTCGCAGAACGCTTACAACAAGCGTGAACACTAAATTCTTACAGTTTTAACACATTGCAAATATTTATATAATTTTTAACATATTTTGTTAATCTTATAATTGTTTGCAAAATATTTTGCAAATAATAATCTTGATTGCAATAGAATCTTTAAAAATATGTAATAGTTATCACTTATAGGAATTTTCGCTATTATATATTTACTTTTGTAAGAATGCTAAATTCCAATACAACTTTAATAGATACATCAATTATTATCTAAAAGTTCATTAGAAATTAAAATACAACTTATTATTAGAATTCAATTTAACAGTAATATTGTTTTTAAAACTCATTTTAATTAATTTTTTGGAAAAGCTAATTTTCCAAGAAGCTTACACTTCTTATTATAATTATTAATATTTTTTATAGTATTTTAATTTATTATTTATATGTTTTGCAAATCACATCGTTTTTTCTAGTTTATACTTCATATATTTTCACGTATTTTTTTACTAATCTCGTAAATGTGAAAGTGTAAACAAGTTTTTGCTAATGAAATAAGATTGTAATTTAATGAATTAAATTTATTTTATTCTACCTGTATGTTGCATTTTAATCTTTGGCACTTCAATCGCACATTGGGATTTCGTCCCATTTGGCACGGGAACCATCGCCCTTATCGGCAGCAACTCGTTTCACAAGCTCAGAGGACGGTTTCTTGAGATTGTAGGCCCATCCGATCTTCGCGAACATGTCGATGAAAAACGACGAGTGATTGAAAATATACCAATTAAACTCGGATGCACGATAGTCCCAAGGAAATGTGTGATGATAATTATGAAATCCTTCGCCACTACAAACTACACTCACGCTCATATTCTCTGTTGGTCGTATATTTCTAGAAATTAGAACAAAATTGTGATAATATAATAAATGAGAATAGATTTTATCTATTAAATATTGTGTCTCGGATCAATTGAAAAATATTTTACGATTCTCAACATTTCTTTAAAAAATCCTCGCGAAAACAATAAAATCAATGAGCGATTTTACACTTAATAATCTGTCGGAAAAATCGTTTTTGTGCCTTAAACATTCATAAGCGATATTGAATATTAATAATATTATCGTAAATCCATTCAAAAGAACTCACTTATTGTATGGCTTGGTACCCCACATGTGAGCAAAACTGTTTATGGAAAAACTTGCATGTAACACCAGCATCACTCGAGCTACTTGTGAAATAAAGGATCTGTTCCATGTCTCACCCCAGAAGTAAACTGGTATTAGTGTGGGCAAGACATAAGAGAATATCAAGTTCACCAAAGTAACATATCTGCTAACAAAAAATTAACTGTATTAATATTTATTGTTGGAAAATTGCGCTGATAGAATATAAATAAATATGTAATGTGAATTGTATGTAAATATTCAATTAACTTTTTATGAAAAGCGATGATTGGGTCTGCCAAAATGTCCCTCATATCAGTCTCACGTAACTTTTGAATGATTTCAGGCCTGAGTCTTCTTAGAATCCAACCTATGTGGCAAAAGAAAAAGCCGCGTCGGCTATTGTGAGGATCTAAATCTGTGTCGACGTATTTGTGATGTACACGATGAATTCGTACCCAACTAAAAATAGAGACCTAAATATATAAAGAAATGTAGTTAAGGCCTGTCCTCATTGAAGCCAATCGTCTGATCAGTAAAGCCGGGATGTGTCTTTAGAAAATAGTCAATCTTACAAATATCTTATAAAAATCTTATAAATAGATCTCTAAATTAAAACTGCATGAATTTCCCAGTTATTATGTAATATCTTTGACTCAATATTCGAATAAAAAATGCTCTTTATATGCATAATAATTGAATTGACTTTAATTTGAAATGCAAATTGAAAATGTTATTGAATTAGATTTTCGTAATAAATTGTATTCGGTTTACGTAATAAATAAACTTTTTTGATTATTACCCCTCCGCTCGAACAGTAACAAACAAAAAGGATGAGCCTGAGCGGTAGATTAGCGTTGTATGATCGATGAGACCAAAATCTATGAGCACCAGCAGTTACACCGATGCATCCTAGGTTATACAAAATTAGTACTGAAAATATAAAAAAAAATTTTAGTTCATATGTAATATAACATTAATTATAATAATTATAGTTGATAATTATAAAATCAAACATGGCTTTCGCCAGTTTTAATTTCAATATTATATAATTTTTGGCAGAAAATATATCTCTTCGATGTGTTTTAAATTACATTACACAATCATGATTATTTTTTCAAAGTATGATCTTCAAATGTTCAATGTATTTTATTTAGAAACATTTATTGCAAGAAAAGTCTTGCTCTATTCTTAAATAATTAGTTTACAACAAAAAATTACAAAATAAAATTCAAATTTTTTAATATTTTTTACACAAACTTACACCACAAAGTTGTCCTTAAATTTTCAAAGTAGTTGAACGTGATTAAACCGTAAAATCCAATGGTATGCATCATCAATAAGTAAAAGACCGTAAACCACAGGATATCCGTTTTTTGTGTTTCTCTTTTCGTAATAATTTCTTCTTTGCACTTAATATCATACGTATCATCATGAGAATTGCTTGGTATCGTGTCGTGCATACTGATAGCAATAACTGTTTACGTTATAAAGTGTAATTATATTGTACTTGAAGTCACATCGATAGATACAGCCTGTGCTTGTGGAGCGCTTAGCGATATATTGCGTTAGAGTAGATAAAAAGAGTGTCGCCAATTATCTGAAAATACATAGCGATAATTTTAAAACATGAAAATAATATAAGATAATATAAAATTAATTAACAAGTTGAAATAAAATTTTTTTTTTTATTAAATGATTCATCATTTCATCGAAATATCCAATTATATGATTTATCTTTAAATAACGGCTTTCAAAACGAAGTCAAAATAAATTGATAAAAGAGCATAAAAATCTCCTCAA